AATAGCAGGGGCTCACAGAATAGGAAGGCCACCCCTTGTTTGAGCACCCACACAAAATTTGCTAACTTGGGTGAAGATGTATGGGTGACAGACTCAGAGTTGGCAGCCCTAGATGTCATTGCTACCCCTAACAGCCATGAGAGCAGGCCATCTAGTCTGGGTGGTGAGGGTAATGCAGGAAGGCCTAGACAGGTTGTGGTAATAGGGGATTCTATAATTCGGACAACTGATAGAATAGTTTGTCACCCAGATCACCTCAACTGGATGGTTTGCTGTCTGCCCGGTGGCAGGGTTTGGCATGTGGTGGACCGAATGGACAAATTATTGGGAGGGGCTGGGCATGACCCAACTGTCTTGGTTCATGTTGGGACCAATGGCAGAATACATGAAGGATGGAGGATCCTTAAAAATCAAGTTAAAGAACTAGGTTGCAAGCTGAAGGGAAGGACCTCCAAGGTAATATTCTCTGTAATATTGCCTGTGCCATGCGCAACACAGGAAAAACAGTGGAGGTTAGAGAGCTAAACACATGGCTAAAGACCTGGTGTAAGTGGGAAATATTTGGGTTTCTGGAGCATTGGCCTGGCTTTACATTGGGGTGCAACCTATATACTAAAGATGGTCTGCACCTAAATGAGAGGGGGGGCTGCTGTGCTAGGGGAGAGGTTCATGGAAGGGTTAGAGGAGTATTTAAACCAGGATTGAGGGGGGAGGGAGAGATGCAATATAATGGGGCAGATACGTCAAACAGGGGTCAGACTATGATGGACTTTAGTGCATGAGGAGAACTATGATGCAATTGGTATTGCTGAATCTTGGCTTTGTTCTTCACTTGAGTGGGCTATTAATATTCCTGTAATAATTGCAAGAACTTGCGCTATTGGAAGTGGGAATAATAAAATATAAATAAAAGTTTAAATAGATAACAATTATGTGAAATTTAATTGTTCTAGAAGGGTAAGGAAAGCTGCTGAACTAAAGGCACTCAGCCCCTATTAGGATATATTTTCTCAAAACGTACAGCGCTAGCCGTCCTTCAAAGGTGTTGAGCCACGCGGGATAAAGTCACTCCGGTGGTCATTGATTGTTACTACATGTGATTTGTTAGCTGACTCCTGTTCACTTCCTGTCTCGCTGTTTGAGACACCCCTTCCTGTCTGACATCACTTCCTGTTGGGCAGGTATAAACAATAAACACACCTGCGTTCAGGTCTCTTAGCATGGGATTAACGAACAAGCAACATCTGTCTCCCTGACTCTACATGACTCTATAGAAGGGAAATACTTCCAGTCCTTGCATAAAGGAGCGTAGTACAACGGGGGAAATTCTTTGTGTTTGGCGCAGCTTAATGCGACATGGATTTGTGCGTTGAACCAAGTGAATTTCCATAACAGTAGGATTGAGCATCTATTTTTCAAATGAGGTTTAATGTTGATAAATGTAAAGTTATGCACTTGGGGACTAAAAACATGCATGCTTCATACACTCTAGGGGGAGTATGTTTGGGGGAGTCAATGATGGAGAAAAATCTGAGTGTACTGGTAGTCTATAGACTCAATAATAGCATGCAATGTCAAGCCGCAGTTTCTAAAGCAAGCAAAATACTTTCTTGTATTAAAAGCGGTATAGACTCCAGAGATCAAGACATAATCCTGCTCCGGTATAAATCATTAGTAAGACCTCATCTGGAATATGCAGTTCAGTTTTGGGCACCAGTTCACAAAAGGGAGGTTGTGGGACTGGAGACAGTTCAGAGAAGGGCAACTAAACTCATAAGAGGCATGGAGGAGCACAGCTATGAGGAAAGATTAACTGACCTGAATTTGTTCTCTCTGGAGAAGAGGCGATTAAGGGGTGACATGATCACTATGTATGAATACATCATTGGTCCATATAGTGAGCTTGGTGCCAAATTATTCACTTTAAGGTCACTGCAAAGGACAATGGGCCACGTAAATGTACGTTCTCCGCTGGAAGTGGTTATACCAAGAACACGGCTGCTACTGCAGCCGTGTTCTTGGTACCGTGGTAAACAGCCGGTGATTGCTTCCCGGGCTCGCTGTCCCCCGTGTCAACATGGGATCGGCGTGGAGGGTCTCCCTTGATAGATCGGAGGAGATCCTCTGATCACTGGACCCAGAAGTGATGTGCATTACAAACAATTAATTTCCACACATCTACCTCCTCATGTATCACTTCCCCCTCCCTGTAGCAGTGCCAAGAAGAGCTTCTCATTGGTCAGTGGCATCAGGTGACCGCGCTGACCAACGAGTGCTTGCAATTTGCAAGCATAATTCAGAACACATGGCACAGTTACAGATAGTACACCCATATTGGCGGATGGGAAGGACCGTTCCCTGAAAGGTAAGTATTAGCTATTAGCTATATATTAGCTATATAAACAAGGGCTAACAAGCCCCTGTGTGAAAGCATTTGGGGGTGACATGTTCTCTTTATTGACCCTGTCACCTCCAACACAGGAGTTCTAGCACAGTACTGTGCTCATTCTCCTGTGACAGGAGACCTGCATTCCTGTATCACTGCACACACTGAGCAGAGAAGCGTTCTCTGCTCTGTGCTGTAACCTAATCTAATTTGCCTGGTCCCGGGTCCCCCACAAGAAGGGTTCCCTCCCCTGGCTGCCTCTCCTCTATATTAAAAGAGTGTTCGGGTTTCACTTGAAGAAAAGGTGGCAACCCTAAGGGTGGACCCCGAAGACCATGGCAGAAAAGAAGCCAGCGTGCAGCCAGAGGCAGCCAAAAATTCAGATTTTATCATATTTGTGCAAATGTAAGAAATTGTTCCGGGCAGCACGTGGTTAATAAGAACATAAGCAGCTTGATATAAAACAGTACATTAAACTGTGTTCAACCAGACTGCTTTATTGATAAGGGCCCATTCACAGCAGATACTTTGGGGCAGCGCTGGTTGCTTTTTCCAGTGCAGCCTCAACACATAGACAAGGCAATTTGCCTTGTTTTAAATGGGCACAGTTCATACAACCTCATTGCAGCATTGTGTGCTGAAAAAGTATGGCAAGCTGCCATACTTTTTCAAAGCAGCTTGGTGTGTTGCAGTACAGCCGCATCACAACATGCTGTGCCAATAGAACTTGATGAAATGTCACTTGTGATATTTCAATAAAGTTCTAACAAAAAATGTAAACAGTGTACACGATAAGCGCATCATCACTGTCATGGTGCCTGTCAACACACACTGGCAGCTGTGTGTTTAGTGTAGCTTGCTGGTGTAAATGGGCTCTTTTGCAGCACTTACTGCAATTACTTTTGCACGATATTCTAATTATTCGAGTTCCACCTGTATTATTTGTTTCAACCTTTGCAGTGGCTGTCTGCACCATGTCCTGGTGAGAGATAGGCATGTGAAATCTTACTTATGTGTGAGAAAAGTGGTTTTGTTTCTACTTCTGTCCCTAGTGGAATCATTTTCTATAATTCCCATCCCAGCAGTGAGGAGAAAGCTCAACAGGGACACAAAAATCAATAGCAAACTGACAGAGGTTATAGTCCTTCCCCACTCTGTTGAATACTAAGAATAAAGTTTGGTCTTTATTGTAAATAATCATATAAAAATGTGTTAACGAATGGAAACCGTGTTTTGATGCACAGTTTGTAATTATCTGTTTTCATTAAGACAGCATTTTTGATCCTATTTTCTCATGGCTGACTTGTCTCTTTTTTTCAGAAATGCAACACTAAAGTTTTGCTTTTGGCAGTTGTCTTAACACTAAAGCTGAAGAAGTGAGAGTTAGTGTTTGTTCCACCCCATGTTCATTTCCTGAATAATTGTAGCAATGGGACATAGACTTTAGCAACATAGCAATGGCAAACTGTCAATTGCACATGTGTGGTGGTTTTCCATTTCAAATGGAAATCATTGTATCAGGCTTTTTTCTTTCATTTCTGACTGAACAAGGTAAGTTTGTGGTGTACAGACCCTAGGTATTAGGGTGCCAACACCGATAAGGTAATGAAAAAGTACAAGAAATCAGTTGGGGGTTTTTTAGGCACCAATTGGCAAGTCCAAAGAGACACAACAATACTATATATCATAACATATATTGTTTATTTGTACAAAAGGTTAAAAAGGTAGGTGTATTTTTTACACTACCAGTGTTTTCTTGTGCAATTTTATAAAATACACCTACCTTTTTAACCTTTTGTACAAATAAACAATATATGTTATGATATATAGTATTGTTGTGTCTCTTTGGACTTGCCAATTGGTGCCTAAAAAAACCCAACTGCTTTCTTGTACTTTTTCACTTAATTTCTGACTGAGGATAAACATTTCCTTTCTTGGGAGGCTTTTTCTCCCATTATTAGAAATAATGTTTCTGCAATGTTTCCATGCAAAGGCAGGTTTTGGTAAATCTTTTAAGTTGTTCACTGATTTTAAATGTAAACCAAAATTCAAAGTGCATGACACACAGACACCATCACTTATGGTAGTGTAAAAACATTTTAGGTTTCTGCCCGACATTTTTTTTAATTTCGTTTTTGTTTCGGTTTTAAAATGTTCATTTCGGTGCACCTCTACTATATTGTACAGATTTGCTGAAAAGTGCTATACCCAATGTTGTACAGTGAAATGCAGTGTTGTGGATTAAGTATTATTAATAATAATATGAAAATAAATATCCTTAGAGCTAAAGAAAGAAAGAAGATTGGGGAGTTAGTGTTATAGGGTTGGTGTTTTTGGTTTATTGTTTTAGGCTTGGGATTTATGTTTTTTGGTTTTATTTTTTGTAAGAGAGGTCTACATTTTAATATAAACTTGCTAGAATCTTTTTTTCTGGGTCAGCAGCATGAACTTGCTCCAAACACAAAGCTGACCTTTGTTTGCAGCACATCACCACATACTTGAGGGGCACAGTATAATGCACTAAAGCAACAAATAATCAATTCCCCATTGGCCATAGCTGCTAATAAATTTATTAAATCCCTTGTATTCATATCTGGTAGCCCTAAAGGGAGAGGCAAAGGTTCTGGACATGCAGCTAGTAGGGGATTCTTCACAGTGGGGAATAGACCCCAAGTACTATTGAGTGTGCAGGCTGGACCACTGGCCGTAGCTGGCACAGCATGTGTTAAATGTTATTTCAAAATTAAATCTGCCTTTGAAAATGTGGTCTGCTCAAGCTGCTTACATAGTGTACATTAAGTCAGAACAATTTCTGTATTTTTTTGAGAAATAATGCACATCATTTTGATCTATTTTATTTATTTTTTTATTAAAACCTGTCTGGTTTCTCACTCAGAACATGCGGCGTACTAAAGTTGCTCACATTCATCAAATTTTTACAATATTTCTGGCTACGTTCTTGGAAATAATACACCCATGTTTGTATGTCTTCATGAAACATGTCTCGTCCCTTAAATACTGTGCAACAGCTGTACAATAGTTTCAGCTATGTTCTGTGAATATTTATTTCAATGAATTACTGCACACATATATTTTATTTTATGGCTTCAAGAAGAATAATCTCTCGACTGATCTGCTTAAAACCCCTGTTGCATTTGTTAAACAATACTTCCTGGCGCATGCGCAAGGCTGACCAAGATGGCCGCGGTTTGATCAGTTCCGCAACGGACTGGGCGCCCTTAGGATCATACGGCTGATTTTACTGCCATAAATCGAACACCCTCATTGGGACCTGATAGGAGAGCACCCGACTGATATCGAAATGGGTCGCACATACCCGAAGAAAAAGACTACACTTAGCCAATCGACTCTACTCGAGGCCTTGGGAAGGATGTCTTGCAGAACCACGTACAGAGTGCCACCGCCATACGATGACACAAGGTCCTCGGTGGGCACCGTGGATCCGGCTGGAGACGAATCCAATCACCCCTTGCCTGACCAACAACAGGCCATGATGGCACAATTCGAGTCTACATTGCACAAAGCTCTGGACAAGATGTCCAAACAAATAACGTTGCAACTTATCAGAGAGATACGCGATATCGTTCGCTGCCGGCAGATCCAGCCACCGACGCCACCGCATACAGAGTCTCCTCTCTCAGCCGATCTGCAGCTGCAGGCAGCTGTCTGATGGGTCATCATGGCCGAGGCCCAGGGCTGCCCCCTGCAGTGCCTGTAGGCTTTTTTTACATTCTCGGCTCCCTCCACAGTTTTCGGTGGCTGACAGGCCCCCTCATCTCTGCGCCAGGAGTATCAGGTCTTTCCGACACTCCCGGCGCAGAGACGAGGGGGCCCGTCAGCCGCCGAAAACTGTGGAGGGGGCATCCCTGAGCCTCGCCCGTGAGGACCCATCAGACAGCCCATCAGTACACGGGCGCGCTGAGATGGGGACACACCACCACACACGGGTGGTTTTCTGCAGCCTCCCCCACCAGGAAACAGCCAGAGGAGGTGAAAGTAGGTTAATAAATAAAACTTTTTTTTTATTTAGCCCAATTGATGTCATTTCTGTATAAAGTACTGCTGGTATTTGTAGTTCTATATAGCAGGTCCCATTCTGCATTTCAGCCATGCAGAATAGCACCCTCTATAGAGGACTACAAATCTCAGCAGTAATTTATACAGAAATGCCATTTTTCCCAAAAAAAATTTTTGTGGTTGTTAAAGGGGATATGGGTTAGGGGTTTTTTTGTTTTTTTTCTTGTGACTGGGCCCTTAAAGGAGAACTATAAGGTGAGTGATTTCCACTCATCCTCATAGTTAGAGCCGATTTGTGACAAAGAAGCTGTCACAGGTCAGCTCTATCGATCGGGAAGTGAGCAGAAACATACAGCCGATCCGCTCACTTCTCGATCATTTCCCTGCAGAGGGTGGTGGTTAGTCCAATCGCCCACACCGGAACGCGTGGCACAACGGTGTGATTGCTTGCACTATTTTTTGCGATCACATTACTCCGTGGGCATCGGTGTGGCATGTGTTCCGGTGCAAGTGATCACACTGCAGGTTGTGAGGTGTGGCTGCGGTGCCATTGACTTGAATGCACCACCACACACTCTTCAACCCCAGAACGCAGGGAGGCTGTAATTATGCAATCCACTGTGCTCCAGCAACAAACTGTGCTGGAACACACTGGATTTGGTGTGAACAAGCCCTTACACTCAGTTGAGGGCCCGTTCACGCTATCCAGTGCGTTCCCCACACAGTCCCATGGGTTGAACACACTGGATCATATAAACAAACGCTCCCTGCGTTCTGGGGTGGGAGGGGGTGTGGTGGTTCCATTCATGTCAATGGCACTGCAAACATGCCTCCCACCCACACTGGAACGTGTGGTACCACAATGCACTGGGGGGGTTTGTAAAAACTGGTGCAGCTGTGCATGGGAACCAATCAGCTTCTCTCCTCAGTTCAACATTTGAAAATGAGTGAGAGGTGCCGATTGGTTGCCATGCATGGCTGCTCCAGTTTGATAAATTCCCCTCACTGTGTTCTAGTGCAGTGCAATCACAAAAAAATAGTGCATGCCTGATTTTTTGCGATCACACCGCACTGGTACGCAGTGCATTGAGGTACCACATGTTCCAGTGTGGGTGGGAGGCATGTCTGCAGCGCCATTGACATGAATGGAGCCACCACGCCCCCTCCCACCCATTGTGCCTGCCTGATCTGTGACACAAGAATGTTTATACAGGTGGGACTTGTGGGAGGGGCTTGTATATGGGCGGAGCACAAGGGGGCCCCATAACCATGTATTGCCCGGGGGCCCCATGTGTTGTCAGTCCGCCCCTGATATTGGGAAAAGAACAACGGTACTGGAATCCCGATGCAATGATATTACAACTATCATTGAAGGCCATGAAGACGAACTGGAACGCCTTTGTAAGCTTAACTTGTCTCTGCACTCCCAAATCGAGGACTCTGAGAATCGAAATCGTAGATCTAATCTTCGTATAAGGGGTGTGCCTGAGACTGTGGTGGATCTGCAATCCACAATCACAGCACTGTTCCAAGAACTGGCCCCTGACCTGTCTATCGAGAGGCTGTAATTTGATAGGATACATCGGACCCTAACTAGGCACTCAGTGGAGGGCCCTCCACGAGACATAATAGTGCGCCTTCATTTCTACCGCACGAAGGAGCGCCTTCTTCAGGCGGCTAGGGAGAGTCCCTCCCTCCACTTTCAGGGATACTCATACCAGGTCTTCTCAGATCTTTCACCAGTGACAATTGCTAAGAGACGGGAATTACGCTTGATCACCCAGACTCTACAATCAAGAAGGATCAGATACCGTTGGGGTTTCCCATTCAAGCTCCAGTTTCTCTTCGATGGCAAGACCTGCACTCTCACTACAATCGATGAAGCTACCCGGTGCCTCGAATCTCTTAATCTTCTACATATACCGGATGAGACCCCGGGAACATCGTCATCGGCAGTCGAGAGACGGCAAAGAGCCCCACGCACCCCTCACTCTTCAGGGGACCGGCCTGCAGCGTCAGATTTACCCTTAGCCTCTCCCCGGGATTCGGATGCAATGGGATGAGTATACACTGCATATTTTTCTCCTGACTATGTTCTTTTTTTTCCTCTTCTCGAGCTGCTTAGCGTATGGTCATAGCCTCCAAAGTTAGCTGTTTTGTGGGACACCTTTTCCACACTCACTCTGATTGACAAGACTGCCTTATTCTAATACCAAGATACGGGTTACACAGGGTGATTTTGTAAGGGTATGTTGGTATACTTCTATGCACAAGGAAGACTCGGTTTGGGAACCGGCAACGGTTGCCCTTCTCTCTCCAATATAAGGGTTTACACTGATATCTGTGTCACACACTTCACAATGTATATGTACACTCTCCCCCAAACCATAACTTTGGAAATTTCTCGCAGCATATACATACTCAGGTAGTCAATGTATTATATGATATGATAAGGAACCAGCCTAGGTGGGATGGGGTTGGGCCTTCTCCCGCTGCTGAGTGTCACAGCTCCCGAGCGCACTTGTGCGGCACTCAGTGGGAACGCACACGCACAGGGCGAGCTTGCCTGGCGCCTCCCGGGGTTGATTGTGGGCCCTGTGTTTCTACCGGCGGGAGCGGGATCCCCCCAGAACCAGCTTGACCCTAGCTTGATTTATGCTTACAGCTTTAGTATGATAATACCAAATGTGTGTTTCACTTACTCTGACTTCGGATCCGCACCCGTAGCCTGTTGGGTTCCTACCCCAGACAAGATGGCCTTTACAGTTGTGGCATATGGTCTTCCCCCATGCAACTCTGGATATCTGGGGAATAGCAACTCGCCATTGGACCGGTATACTCGCTTGGGGGACCTAGCTCCCTCGCGCGGAGTTCAGGCGGAGACCAGCCTCATTACTCCCAGCCTTAAGCCGAAAACAAAATGCCCCGGGGTGACACTGCATGTGGGGACAAACCTTGCTTCAGTTCTCGAGTTGTTGACATTTAGATAACACTTCATCATAGTTCTTTCCCTATTGAAGGTTCAGTTATGGTTCAATATGTGTTTTTCTGCTTTATTATTTTTTTACAGGCAGATTGTATTTTCTACATCTGAAATTGATCCTGGGGCCCGGCCCGGTTAATGCATGTAGCCCCACATCTCACCACTCAACCTCTGCAGAGTTCGGACGGGTGACTAGCCCTGTCCACTGACATACTGTGGATTTCCTTGGAAAGGCGACTCCTTGCTACTCTTTCCCTCATCTTCCCTTCTCTCCCTCTGTGCCTGTCCCCTTCTTTTTTTTACTACCCCTTTCCTTCCCTCCATCTACTCTTCCTCTGGCCCCCCACATCCGGACTACAATTTGGCAAACCGCCGTCATGTCTATTAAAATAGTTTCCTTAAACAAACAGGGGCTTAATCAACCGAATAAAAGAGTCAAAGCATTCCGTCAGTTTAATTCCCTGCATGCTGACGTGATCTGCTTACAGGAAATTCATTTTTAAAAAAGACTCCTCTCTGTCCTTTCTCCACTCAGCATTCGCTAATTTTTATGTAGCCTCCGCAGCAACAAAATCTAGGGGGGTTCTTATAGCCTTCAGTATGTTGC